TGATATGACAAAGCAATCTTTCACCTCTTTTCCCTAGTGAAGCTTAGAAACCGTAGTTAGAGTTTACTACTTTTTCTTTTTCTATTTTTATTTTTCCTTTTTCTCTCTTTCTTTCTTATTTATTTTTGGTACAAGGGATTGAACTCAGGGGCACTTTACCACCAAGCTATATCCCCTGTCCTTTTCATTTTTAACTTAGAGACAAGGTCTCACTAAATTACTAAGGACAGCCTCAAACTTGTGATTCTCCTGCCTCAGTTTCCCAAGTAGCTGGAATTACAGGTGTATACCACAATGCACCAGAGATTGCTTTTCCGATTCCCAAATCACTTTCCAATGTAAAAAAGAAAAAGAAAAAAGGCTGAAGGTTTAGCTTAGTGGAAGAGTATTTGCTTAGCTTGCATATGAAGCCCTGGGCTAGTTCCCCAGAACCAAAAAAATAAACAAATACATATATACACACATACACACACACACACACACACACACACGTCTATATGTACAAATATATATTTAAAGAATGCATTTCTCCCTGGGCACGGCGGCACATGTCCATAATCCCAGCAGTTTGGGAGGCTGAGGCAGGAGGATTGCAAGTTCAAAGCCAGCCTAAGCAACCTATCGAGACCCTGTCTTTAAATAAAAAATAAAAAGGCTGAGGATGTGGCTCAGTGGTTAAATGCCCCTGAATTCAATCCCTGATATGGAGGGGCGGGGGGGAATCCTCCTACATCTAAAATAAGTTATAGCTCTTAAATTTTATTTCAATAGTTCATTCTCAAACTCCACCAGAAAACCATTTTAATTACTCACTAGAGTCCTCAGTAGTTCTGAAAGAAAGAAAATAACCGCATACAGCAATGCCCAGTGCTTCTTCTATACTTAAGGCCTGACTATGATATGAGTACCAAAAAATTCCTTTTGGAGGAAGCACAGAGGTTGGGAGGGATAACCAGGGATTGAATCTACGGGCACTTAATCACTGAGGCACATCTCCAGTCCTTTTTGAGATAGGGTCTCACTAAATTGCTGAGACTGACTTTGAACTTGCAATCTTCCTGCCTCAGCCTCTCAAGTCACTGGGATTACAGTAAGCACCTCCATGCCCAGCAGTCCAAACTCTTTCTATAAAACTTGAAAGTGATGACTGTAAGTAGATTATTCCAAACACTAATAACTTTAAGATTTAATCACCTTCTAAGACTGAAAGTTTTTTCCTATTAAAAAACTATTTTACCCGCAGCAACAATAGCTGACATGTCATTACAATGTGTCAAGCTCTGCCCTGGGTATGAAACATAATTACTCACTGAATTCCATTCAATTGTTCTATGAGCATGGGAAATTTTATCACTCCCATTTTAGGGATGAACAAATTTGAGACTTTTACAAGTTCAATGATTAGCTCAAAGTTACACAGCTGCTAAGTGGCAGGGTCCAGGCTCAAGACAGATCTAGCTGACACTTAAGCCCCTGCTCTTTTTTGTTTGCTTCTTTTTGGTTATACATAACATTAGAATTCATTTTGACATAATTTAAAAAGCATGGAATATAAATTGCTCAAATTCAGTCCCCATTATATCCCCTTTCTCTCCCCTCTTCCCTTTTCTTGTTCCCTTCCCTCAACTCTACTGATCTTTCTGATATTTACTTCTAGACTTTTTTTTCTTTTTTTGTTAGTGTCTTGTGGGTATAGATGATGATGAGATTTACTGTGGTATATTCACAGTATACAAAAAGGTTAGGTTAATTCATTCCTCTGTTCTTTTCTTATCTCATCTCTTCTTCCTCCCCCTCAGTCCCTTTCATTTAGCCCACTGGTCTTCCTTCTTTTTTGATGGAATTCTCCACCCCATTCCCTCTCCCCCACCCCCACTCCTTATTTTGTACTAGCCTCCACATATCAGAGAAAACATTCAACCTTTGGCTTTCTGAGTCTGGCTTATTTCACTTATGTGATACTTTCCAGTTCCATCCATTTACCAGCAAATGCCACAATTTCATTCTTTATAATCCCCTGCTCTTAACCATAACTATCTTCAGCTAAAGCATAAACTCCCCTTTCTACATGATGTCGTTTACTTCATATTGGTTTCCTTTATTGAGAAAGGAAGACTTGAAACAAGTAAAGTTCTAATTTTAATAGCATTTCAACATCTACTTAAAGAAGAAAACCTAAAACTTTAATTTCAAAATCTCCTGAAATGCCAATCCAACAATAAATTTTGTGATGTCAATTTTTTGCCCCATATTTCATCCTTTTTTTTTTTCCTAAGCTCCACTGGGGGAAAAAAAAAAAAGTTGGAGAGGAAAAAAATCATTCCCAAAGCTTAAATTCCAAGTTTCTGTGCTTGGCAACTATAACTATACTGTGCTTTGGGACCTTAAAATTATAAGCACAGATCTCAGAGGAGAACATTTCCTTTATTAGCAATTGGCTTTGAAACTTCCATTCTAGGATGCTAAATATAACAATACCCCTCCTGACTTTTATAAACACATTCTTCAAATTATTTTGATACTAGTGATTTTCTATTTACAAGATAGCTTTGCCACAACAATTAAGCAACTGTAGCATTTTGAGGAATCTTTCAAACTTGTTCTAGCTCTTTTAAAGAAGTGACCTGAAAAACTGTTCTCTGGATTTTTCTATGAAATAAGAAAGTTCCGATTTTACAATTCATTTCTCTAGAAAGACACCCTTATTTTGTTATTTCTAATGTCCTTGGATTATAACACAAGGATACCGGTAGTTTTTTTTTCCCAAGTTATGAAACAGAACAAATGCAACTTTTAAAAACACTTTATACACTCACCAAAGTCAAATAAATGTACCCTTATTTTAAAATCCCATATGTGATAATTCAGAAATAATGATGGGGAGAGAAACTGTTTTGCTCTGGGTAATGGACTAGCTCTTTCTTTCTTTCTTTCTTTCTTTTGTAATTATAGATGGACAGAATACCTTTACTTTATTTGTTTATTTTTATGTGGTGCTGTGGATCAAACCCAGTACCTCACACATGCTAGGCAAGCACTCTTCCACTCAGCTATAGCCCCAGCACTACATCGGGCTTTTAACAGAAGGCATAACTGCTGCTGCTGCATTTTAGAGAATGGTAAGCACCTAGTGGACCTCATGACCCAGGCGTCCTTTCATTATATAAGTAGTTCCAAGTACAGTTGTAATTATTAAGGCACCTTTAGCTGGACAGCTCCTGGAGTCCTCCCTACCTAAAACATGAATGTGAAAAATTAAGAATCAACTGGCACTTTATCTTTGGAGGATGGATCCAAGGAGTGGAGAGGGTAAAATTTTTGTTTCACCTCATAATCCCTGGACTGTTTTTGTTTTGCTTTACCATATCTTGTTATTACAGTTAGCTTTTCAAAAATACAGCCTCGCCAGCTATCATCCTTCTCCCTCTTCTCACACCTTCTTGGTCCACAGAATTCCTTTAACACCAACCATGAGCTCATCCTTAAACAAGGGTACAGTACCTTCAAACACATGAACACTCACCAACCAGGATGAGTACAGAGTTGTTTGGGACTAAACCAGGATATTCATCTGAAGGAGTAAACTACAAAGTACCTTATCTTTGCAATGAATTCCTGAATCTGTATCCCGAGCCCTAAATTTTCTCCAATATATCCTAAACATCAAAATGGACAGTCTCCTTGGATGATCCACTCTACACAATAACAAGAGAGTCGTTTTTAAAATTTTTTTTTCATGAGAGCATTCCTCCTTGTAAAACTATTCTATTGACATCCTGTCACCAAATCATATAATCACTTCCTTCCTGATTTCCCTTTCCTTCAGTAATCAAAAAGTACAGGCTACATGAGTGGGTGCTATGGAGCTAGTTTAAGGCAACAGGGATTGCTAAGGAATAGATGACCCTCAGCTCCAGACAACAATTAATCAGGTGAGAACGTGATAGGACATTCTCCAATAATCCAAAAAGAGAAAGAAATTCTGATTGTTAGGAGAGATCTTCTGATTTTTAAGAGAACATGTTGGTCAAAGAAAACATCTGCAGGTCACCCACAGACAATCCCTGACCCCCGACTTAACCAGTCTCCATCATTCTGATTCAGGCTCCCCCTGTCTATTCTACACATCACTGAATGATCATTTTCCAAGCACACTGCTCCTGGGCTGCGGATGTAGCCCAGTGGTAGAGTGCTTGCCTAACGTGTAAAGTCCTGGGTTCCATCCCCAGACACTGGAGGGAAACAATTTCTTTTTGCTCCTGACCACTACTAACTTGAAAAGCATAAATATTACCGCAAAAATCCCAAATCTTCTTGTCGTCATTCAACGTTCACAGTAACACAACTATCCTTCACCTTCAACTTCCCTACGCAAACCTTACATTTAAATCAAAGGAGTCCACCCCTCTTCCATCTCACCCCCCAACCGGTTGTATCCCCGCCAAGATGGCCTCCTTCTTTACCCCATCAAAGCCCACATTTGGCTCAGGAAACAACCCTTTGGAAGTAGACCTTCCAACACCTGCTAACCGGCTGGTTCACTGCGTGAGTCAAGACACCTCTCTGATCAAAGCCAACGGATTTAACTTTTAAGAAGGGATTTAAATCCCCCAGAAGACAAATCCTATGGCCTTGTCTCGATTTCCCCACCCCAAAATAACATTTTTAACAAGAGCAATGAGCCTGAAGTCGGAGAAGGCTCTGCGGGGTCTCGAGTCTTCTCACCCAGGAAGGCCTCAGGGAGGTGGGGGATGCCCCAACCAGCCCTGCGAAGCAGGCAGCAGTGCGCAATCTCCGCGCGCTCCTCCTTACGCCCCCAGGGTACCATCCCCAACCCGATCCACAGCCGTGCCCTGCAGTGGCCCTGGAGGACCTTCAGTGCTGCCCAGGCCCAATGCTCTCGGCCGCGACAAAGGGTCAGAGAGCCAGACCACCCCGCTGCGCGCGCTCCCCGCGGGCCTCCGCTGCCCGGGCCGCGCCCACCCGGACGCTGCCGCTACCTTGTCCTCGGGCGGTGAGTCCGGCTCGCGAACCGCTCTCTGCCTCAGCTCCGTCATGCTGGAGACCCCGGCGCGACGTAGCCACTGGCTAGCAGCGCAGCCGCCGGAGCGTGCAGCTCAACTCAGCTCGAACACGGGCAGACTCCTTCCGCCAACCTCGCTCGCTCGCTCGCCCGCTCGCCCACCGGAGCACTCCGCAGCTCAGCAGCGGCTCGCAGGCCCCTCCGCAGCCCGGTCGCCAGCCTTGGAGCTCCGCCCAGCTTCTCCGCTGCTCTTCCACCGGAGCCGAGAGGACCCGGCCTTCCCAATCGCTCCTCCTCCAGGGAAGAGTTTCGGAGAGAGCGCGCACGCGCACAGCCGCCATCTCGGCCCGGGAGATCCGCCAATAGCGGGAATACACTAGGCAGGCGGGGCAACGGGGCGGGGCGGAGCGGAACAGAGCAGAGAGACGCGCATTGGACAGCACCACAAGGGGGCGGGGAAAACGTGCCTTTCAGAGCGAGATTAGCCAATGGAAACTCCCGCCTAACCGCGAATGTAGCGGTTCCGGCGTTCTAGGTCTTGAAAGTAAATGGTTATTGAGGGCAAGAAGCGCCCCCGAGAGGGTCTAGCCTGCAAGAATTCACTGCGCTGGGGTTCCAGGCTTACTTAAGAACCCATTTGTCAGACCTTAAGTGGTGAGGCTCCGTGAGCCAACCTGGTTACGAGGAGGGAATCACGTGAAAATAAAGTGAAACCCAAACTGAAGTCTGTTGTGCATTGCCAAGCAGTCTCTAGGTATGCATAGAGCTGAGTGGGCTATAGTTGGTTTATCTTGTTTAAGCCACATGTCACTTGGCAACGGATGTGATTTTCATTTTACAAATAAGATCATCTTCAGTGTTTCAAATTTCTTATGAGGTTTTGGTTTTGGTTTTGGTCCTGGGGATTGAACACAGGGCCTACTGAATGTTAAACTTGGGCAATATTATTGAGCTATCCCCTCAGCCACTGGATTGTTGTTAAGACGAGTTTGGGAACAGGAATGCTGCCTTTTTTTTTTTTTTTAACTGAGGGTCTCCTATGTACCTGACACATCCTAAATACTTCCATTTTTTTTTTAAATTGTTAATGGACCTTTGTTTAATTCATTTATTTATATCCGGTGCTGAGAATCAAACCCAGTACTTCACATATGCAAGACAAGTGCTTTTCCACTGAGCCACAACCCCAGCCCCCTAAATATTTTTTGAGTGGAATTAAAACTTATGAAGGAAAATGACTTAACCAAGGCCTACCTGGTAGAAAATGCCTAGTAAGAAATACAATTCAGAATACAAGCTAACCAACGTACATACAGCCTGCCTGAATTCATGAATAGCTGTGTTGCTTGGGCATCACCTTCTATGCTTCCTACTTGCTTCTTTGCAAACAACGCAAAACACGAGTTCTCTATCCTTAATCGTATTGTTATCTAACAATGAGAAAAACTTGCCTTAGAGAAGTTGCAATTTCCTGTTTATAATTTTGACCTGAGCTGTGTGGCGTTTGGGGAAAGAAATTGAAGTGGTAACTCCTTCCTAGATGTTTCTTTTTTATCTCTGTTAATAACTGCAACCTGCTAGTTTGCTTCTGTATTCATGCTTGCTCAGCAGCTGTGGCAGGAACCACAGCTGCTTGGAAAGAGGGAAAGGAAATCAAGGCTACTTGCATGGGGAAGTCTTGAAACCTGGTAGGATGTACTGTATAAAAGATAATGAGAACAAAGAACTGTCTTCAGCCTTGAAAAAGACTCCACTGAGCCCACACCAGTGCTGAATAAACCTTGCACTTCTATATACTTCCAAGGGCCACTTGTCTCTTTCCAATGCCATAAAGATTTTCCATATTTTCAGTAACAAAATGAGAATTCTGAAAAAGGCATTATATAATCCTGATTTCTTTCCCCTCTGCCCCCATCCTGCCTCCTGGAGATTAAACCAGGCAAAAGCCCCACCACTGAGCTACTTCCCCCTTCCCCAGCCCTCCTCCCCTACTTCCTTTCTCTTTTTGACAAAGGGGCTCCAGAATTGCCCAGAGTGGCCTCCAACTTGCAATCCTCCTGCCTCAGCCTCCCACATAGTTGGTATTACAGGCGTGAGCCACCAAAACCATCACATATCCTGATCGCCATAAGAGTATATTCCCCAGGGGCTGAGGCTATATAGCTCAGTGGTAAAGTGCATGCCTTGAAAGTGTGAGGCACTGAGTTCGACCCTCAGCACCACATAAAAATAAATAAAGATACTGTATATCCATCTACAACAAAATTAATATTTTTTTAAAAAGAGTATATTCCCCAATTTTTGAAACAGTGCTTTTAACAAATTTGAAGGTGCCCTGAACTCTGAACTTTGTTTTCTATTTTAAAACGTTGCACAACTACTAGAATAGTGTTTTGTTTGTCTGTTTATTATACTGGGATCAAACCCAGGTTCACTCTGCCACTGAGCTACATCCTCAGTCCTTTTTGTAAAAGTTTTGTTTTGAGACTCATGAGGCTGAAGCAGGAGATTTCCAAGTTCGAAGTTAGGCTCAGCAGTTTAGTGAGGCTCAAAGCAATTTAGCAAGACCTTGTCTCCAAATTTAAAAAAAAAATTAAAGGACTGGGGATACAGCTCAGCGGTAAACCACTCCTGGGTTCACTCCCCAGTACAAAAAAAAAAAAAATGTTTATTTTGAGACAGGTCTTGCTAATTTGTCCAGACTGGCTTGAATTTGGACCCTTGTGCTTAGCCTCCCCAATACTTGAGACTACAACATACACCAACATACCCCAAATTTGATTTCTTTTCTGTTCCTTAAATTAACTCTTTTCTTGAAAGTTATTTCTTCCAGGTTTGTGGCATATCTTGTACACAGTGATTTCATTATACTCCTTGTTTAGTTCCATTACTGTTAAATACTGTGTTAACAAAAATAACTAGCATGGGATTCCTAATCCCCAGAATGTTCAGACTGATTGTAAATGGGTAGCTATTGCTATAATTAATTTTATTTCATGATAAAAACAACTCCCCTCATCTTAATATCTGAAAACTGCAATGGTACAAGTGACATGAAAATTCTTGAGTTCCAAGAATAATGATATCATTTCTCTTAGAGGGGAAAACTTATCAAAAATCATTTCTTTAAACTGTACATTTATTTAAGAATTGTGGAAAGGGCTATTGATATAACTCAGTGATAGAGCGCTTCTCTAACATGCACAAGTTCCCCACCAACTCCAAAAAAAAAAAAAAAAGTTGAAAAAAAAAAAACAGCCTTAACCTGCTTTTTCTAGCTTATCATATTGCCTTTTTATTTATCACAGTTTGACAAGTGTTCTCAGATAACTAAAACTTATCCAATTTAATAAAATGACATGCAACATTGAATTGAGAATAGGCAGAATTGTCAAGGTTTCAGGACTGGGGATGTGGTTCAGTGATAGAGCACTTATCTAGCATGTTCAAGGCCCTGGGTTCATTCACAGCACTGAAAAAAATAATCTTCAAAAAATACAAATCCTGTACTTCCATGATCTTACAAGCCTACTAGATTATTAGGTAACTGTATATTATGTATTAGTCTTCTCTCTAATAAGCAAGGTTTTACTTTTTCTAACCAATAAGTCTAGAGGCTCTAAGCACAAATATTTACCTATTTATCACAAATGCTGTAAGAGTACTTTTTGCAGGGGATACTGGTAATTGAACCCAGGAGCACTTTATCACTGAGATACACCCCCAGTCCGTTTTATTTTTTAAATTTTCTTTTCTCTCTCTCTCTCCCTCTCTCTTTTTTTTTTTTTTTTTTTTTTTTTTGGTGTGTGTGTGTGTGTTACCAGGGATTGATCCCAGAGGTACTTAACCACTGAGCAACATCCCCAGCCATTTTTATATTTTGTTTAGAGACAGGGTCTCTCAAAGTTGCTTAGGGCCTCACTAAGTTGCTGAGGCTGACCTTGAACTCACAATCCTCCTGCCTCAACCTCCCCAGCCACTGGGATTACATGTGTTTGCCATGGCATCCAGCTACTTTTTAAATTTTTGAGACAGGGACTTGCTAAATTTCCAAGTCTGGTCTTAAACTTGTCATTCTTCTGCTTCAGCCTCCTGAATTGCAGGTATTACAGGCATGAACCACAGTGCCTGGCTATAATAGTAGTTTTTTTAATCCTGATTATTCATTAGGATTACCTGGGCAGCTTCTAAAAATTACTGTTGGAAGGACCACCCCAGCTCAATTTGAGAATTTCTGGAGACCAAAGGGGAATAGACTTTTTGAAAAACACCCCTAGGTAAGTCTAATAAGGATTGAGAATGACTACTATATGATCTTAATTTTTAAAGAAATTTGACAGGGGCTGGGGCTCAGTGGTAGAGTGCTCGCCTAGCATGCATGAGGCACTGGGTTCCATCCTCAGCACCACATAAAAATAAAATAAAGATACTGTGTCCACCTAAAAATATTTTAAAAAAAGAAATTTGAAAGAAACTACATAAAATAGTTTACAGCATTTTTCTCCCAATATTCATTAATATTTCTACAGTGTAGAAAATATGCCAGGTTTAGTGGCACACAACTGTGATCTCAGTGGCTTGGGAGTCTGAAGCAGAAGGATTATAGGTTTCAGGCAAACTTCAGCAATTTACCAAGGCCCTAAGCATGTTCGGTAGTTAAGCATCCCTGGCTCAATCCCCAGTACCAAAAATAAATAAATAATAAGAAATCATAAGAAAGGCTTCAGATGTCACTCAGTGGTAAAGTACCCCTAGGTTCAATCCCTGGTACCAAAAATAATAATAATAATAATAATAATAATAATAATAAATAAAACTTAAAAAGTGTAGAAAATACAGAAAAGCATAATGGAAAAAAACTAAAATTATTTGTAGTATCATCAGCCACAGATAATTGCTGTCAATATTTATATTCTTGGAGCTGGGGCTGTACCTCAGTGGTAGAGCACCTGCCTTGACGTGTGAGGCACTGGGTTTGATCCTCAGCACCACATAAAAATAAATAAAGCTATTGTGTCCATCTACAACTAAAATTTTTTTGAATATTTATATTCTTACCTTTCCATTCCATTTTCTATGTACATATATAGAGATAATAACAGTTTCAGAAAATTAGAAAACCTTTATTTATGTTGTTTTATAACATGAATTTTCTCTTTATCCTTAAATGCTTTTTAAGAATGGTAATTTAAAGGCTGGGTAATACTCCATCTTACAGATTTACCTGCTAACAAAAGCAAATATATGTGGGTGCAGGGGCACCTACATCTCATCACAGATACTTGGATTCTGAGACAGGATGATTGCACAAGGTCA